CCTTGCACTGGAGTGCTCGGACCCTAATGATCAAATAAATGCATGAACAGCCTTTTTTTTTTCAACCCAAATCAACAAGAAAACTACTGTAACTGTTGTTAAATGAATTTTGAAAAATGCCCCATGATTTACTTTTGACAGAATCGATGCAGATGATCTGCCATCTGAAAAATAATCTGCATTATCATCTTCTTATAATACAAAACAAAAAACAGACCAACAAATCAGACCACATTCTTTTTCTTTTAATTTTTTATTTTTTTTTAAACCATTACATGTGAAATGTTTTAATGGCAGAACAACAGTGGGATAACAGGCCATAGAAATAAAGTGAAAGCAGTGAACATAAGGAACAATTGACAGATAATACTTTATAGGAATATCCTTTTACAAAATTCTTCGTCAAAGACGACAGGTGTTTTCTTTTATTAAGCATGTTAGCATGAATAAAATTAATATAGCGTTAAAGGACTTCTAGCGGTTCCATTAAATTCTGAGCTTCTCCACAGCATAGCATTGACAGGCTCAGGCAATGTTGTAGAACTGGTCCATCTAGTGGAGGAGCAGAGAAACACACAAGTTCAGCGCGAGTTTTAATTTAATTTGAAGCTGGTGAGACGGGAGGCGGCGTCCACTTTACACATTTCCACAGAATGGTTTTCATCCTCAGTAGAGGTGCTGATGAACCAGCCCCTGTGTTTCACAGACTCAAAGGTGTAGAGAGTCATGGCCGAGTGCCTCTTAAAGAAAAGGAAGCGGTCCATGTTTTGGTCGTCGCTGATCATCTTTAGCTCGTCCTCACGGCATCTCTGACAATGACAGATAAACAGAAGGAGTTTGTCATTCTAATTCACCTATGTATGGAAGTACATTTCTGCCCGTAAAAGAAACAAATCTGAGGTACAAGACAAAAATTTAGAATTATGACACAGTAAGTCAAAATTGTTGACTTTATAATACAAATTTCTGTGATTTAAAACGTCAAAGCTCGGACAAAAATTTTTTTTACTGGAAATCAAAATTATGAACAAAAACTATTTTTTTTCAGATAAAAACTCAAAACTGAGAGAGTAAGTAAAAAAAATTACTGGAAATCAAAATTTAAGAAATTCTAAATTATGAGAGATTTGTGACAGTTTTGTCTAGAGACAAATTCTAAGATAAAAAGACATTGTAAGTCAAAGCTGTGCAATAACACTTTACACTTTGAGTCAAAACACCACAAAATGACATAAGTCTCATTTTAGATTTATTAAATAAAAATTTCTTCAATAAAAAGACTGAATCATCCAGTGTCTAATTTAGTGACATAGTGAAGCAGAGTTTGGGATGAGACTTCCAAAGTCCACATTTTGACGAAATTGTTCGACAAAACATTCAGTCAAAAAATAAGGTAAGAAGTCTAAATTAGATGTACTAAATAAAAAATGTATAAAAAAAATCCAAAATCTGAGTTAAATCTTTAACAATCTGCAGTGTCAGAGTCCATTAGGACTCGTCAGGGAAAACATCAACATTTATAAACAAAAAATCCAAACTTTGACAAAGTCCAAATTGTGACTTTTAAAGGGAAAGTAATGATAAAGACTGTTTTTTTGTGATTAAAAACCCAAAATTCTGACACAGTAAGTCAAAGGTTATGACATAAGAAGTAAAAATTATGGGCTGAAAAGTGTAAATAAAATGAATGATGAACTTTACTGACAACTGCAAAACTAATGACAAAGTAACTCAGTATGTAGACTTTTTATTTGTAAAATAAAAAGTAAATGTTGTGGTTTTTGTTTTTACCTCCAGAGTCAGCACGGGTGTGTCGTCTATCATGGTGCAGGACATATGCAGGTCGTTGTTGATGGAGAGGAGAACAGTCTGAACATCAGCAGCAGGAACACAAGGAGTGACGTACCTCGCCATCTTAAAATTCACTGACGTGACAAAAACACAGACACAGGAAAAAACATGATTTCAGAAGGACTGACCTCCACCACTGAGGGACCTGTAGGTTTCAGTAGAGTATTTGAGGAAGTGGTTGTGGTACCTTTACACTGGTAGTGTCCTCCTTTGAGCGTGAGGGCCTGCAGTTTTAGTTCTCCTGACTGCTGGACGAGGTCTTTCTGGACGCTGTCGCAAAGCGTGAACTGCTTCACACTGTTGACACGCCGGAAAGTCACTTTTTTCTGTCCTGTGTTACTGGTCAAGAATGTCTCCACAACAGTTTCTGTGTAGACGAGGAGGGAGATTGTTAGCCTGTGTGGTGGACTGAACAGGACCCAAAGGGTCTTTTAGCCCCAATACAGAGCCTCTGTTTGACGTGATGGTTGCAAGTCAAACAACCACAATGACAGCAACAGTAGGAATCAGAAAGTCCAGGAAGTGATGACATCCAATAAAAAAAAAAGATGTACAATGACCACAAATTGACAAAATGACTGTAAAGATGCACGGAAGCAGACAGGAAGTCGTGCTGGTTGACCACAGAGAGAGAACCAGCTAAATGAATTTAGAGGCAGCACAGCAACAGACACACAAAGGAAACCAAGGAGGCGTATTAAATAAACAGAAAGAGATGTGAACCATTGGATAGAGATGCAAAATTAACACAAAAAGACCTCTAAGACACAAAATGACCACTACTACACGTGAAATGCCTGCAACTACATGCAAAATGACTACAAAGAGAATATGAATGCTAAAAAAAAAAAAAAAGACATAGACCACAAAGACACACAGAAAGAGCATAAAGAGTTTAAAAGTGACAAAACTTTGTGTTACCGACCTTCCACCAGACTGTCCATGACTATGCTGCAGAGCTCATCCTCACTGAGCTGGTGGATGCAGCAAGATGGGGACTCTGTCATTCTGTTCAAGATCAGTATCAGGTTAGCTGCACTCCTCAGCGTCTTCTTCTTGTGAGGAACCTTCAGGTCCAGGTCCTCATCGGGTGTGATGACCGCGACCTGAAGCTCCTGCAGGAAGCACATGATAACAATAATAGCGATGAAGCTCAGGGCAAATTTCATAATTGTACAAATGTAGTAAATAAATAGCACTAGTGGAAGAATTACCGTCATGTCGAAGTAGCAGTGTTCAATTATTTTCTCGTCCGATTCAATGGGGCTGAAATACGAAATAAAAGATAAGGTTGGAATGTATCAAACTGATCACAGAGAGAGACCCAAGTGAAAGGAGAAATTAACTGTTGCAGCACAACAAAGAGCCACAAAACAATGATATGGACACACAAAATGACCAGAAACAGATGCAAACCACTGGAAAAGAGATGCAAAATGAACCCAAACAAATGCTCATCAAACACAAACAGATAAAAACAACTCTAAGATACAAAACAAGTTGCAAAACAAGTACTAGGAAACTTAGAACAACTCAAAAAATGCTAAATGAACGCAAATAGCTTTAAAAATAACAGTAAAGACACACAAAAAGACCAGATCGAGATGCAAACCAATGAAAAGGAGATACACAATGAACACAAGCGTAACATGAAGGCGGAGACATACGAATGGATTGAAATACAAAATTAAGGATAGATATGAAATGCACCATTTTAAATATTCTGAATTAGAGTTTGGAAAGCTCAGAGAGGACAGTCAGCAGCACGAAGCAGAGAAATTATGTTGTTTCTGCTGTTTTCACAGAGGTGCAGGATTTTATGTTACAGTGAAAAATGAGCCCACAGTGAAGAAAAATGTGACAGGAGCAAAACAAAAACAAAAAAAAACCCCAAAAAGCCCAGAATATACTTGGAGTTCAGAAGGAGGCCTTTTTGCTAACATGTCCTTATTCTGTGTTGCTGTAGTGAACAGTCAGTCATGTAAGTGTCTCTTTTATCCAGATCAATAAAAGACTTTTTTAAACTGGAGAACAAATAAACTCCGATCAGTCTAAACTATGTTAAAAGTACATTTCTCTGAGGAAATTAAACTTTACATAACATGAAACTGGGATCCCGCAAAATAAACAAATACAATAAAAATTACAAAATAAATAACATAATTTGGTTGGTATCTGGGCTGCAAGGTGACTTGGTCGTTAACACCGTCGCCTCACAGCTAGAAGGTCGCTGGTTTATGTCCCGTTGAGGATCTTTCTGCGTGGAGTTTGCATGTTCTCCCCGTGCAGCGTGGGTTCTCTCCGGGTTCTCCAGCTTCCTCCCACACAGTCCAAAAACATGTTGAGGTTAATTGGTGATTCTAAATTGTCCGTAGGTTAAGTGTAGCCCTGTGATAGACTGGTGACCTGTCCAGGGTGTCCACTGCCTTCACCCTAAGTCAGCTGGGATAGACTCCAGCCCCCCCACGACCCTAGTGAGGATTAAGCGGTGTATAGATAATAGATGGCTGGATGATTGGTATCTAAGGTCAAATTAAACTCTACATGGGCGCCTCGGTGGCTTCCTGTCTCTCTCCACTGCTCTATTGAATAAAGTCAAAAGCCCAGAATAAACTCTACATTACATATAAAAGTATATTATTTAGTCATCCTTGACTGTATAAACCTGCAGTTAAGCAGTGATTTCACGATGTTTACTGTGTCTTTTGTTCATATACGGATCACAAGCATGTCTCTAAATGAGAAGTGAAACATGTGACTGAAGCCGTTCCCTTTTCAGACGATACCTGCTTTAAGTTGCTCACTGCTAACTCAACACTGTTTAGAGATTTAAATAAAAGAAAAAGAAAACCTTAAGAGATCAAAAAACTACCAGAACAAAGACTCTGAGATGAACTTACCTGGGCAGAGCTTGAGATAGGTCAAACTCAGACATCGTCGATGACATTCTGAGTTTAGTTACTTTGGTGATTCTTTTCTGTCACACTGATTTCGCTGAGGTTTCCAGTCGATAGCCTCCTCTCTCGTGTGGCACGGCAGGTCCACTGAGTATCTCAGCCTGTCTGTGCATGAGCAGCAGCCTCAACTTCCTTTTTCAAAAGAGAGGTGCACTTGCACTCGCAATGACATCACAGCAGTGGAAAATATGACAACAGTCATTTCTGGGTAAGTGAAGATAATGCATAGAGAAAAAGCTTTTGGGATAACTGAAACATCAATATTCAGATAACTATATGTATTTTTTCAGTTCCTGCAAAATGTGAAAGTTTAGCTTTTATTGATTTTCTGAATTGAATCTGATTGAAAAACCTCTCAGTAACTGGGTGACTTCTTAGTTGAAAAATAATTCCTCATATGAACAATCAAAAACAAACATCGAAGATGCATCCATCCATACATCCAGAAACTCTTTGCAGCCTAAGGGAATCTAACTGTGACCTGTGACACACAAGTTAAAAACCTGTCATCACTGAAACTAAACTGAGTTCTGTCACTTCCAGTCAGCCTAACTGAAAGAACAAAGTTGTTAATGGCTGGTATCCAACTGCATGTCTGCACAGAAAAACACTTGTTTGCTCTTTGGCACAAAACTGCAAGATGAAACTTTGTGTGTTTGTCTTTATTTTTGAGGATCCTCATGGACCTACATATTTCGCAAGATTGATCAATTTCTGATACTGTGCCTGCAGATGAGCCATCTGTAACTCTTAACCACTGCTGCAGCTGTGTTGGCTTACATTCAGCAGGTGCTCATGCACCTGTCTGTGCAACTCACACTGTGGTTTCCTACTTGTTAACCTTAACCATCTAAACCCTGAAATGGCAAGTGTTAAAGGCATCCATCCATTATCTATACACTGCTGGATCCTTAATAGGGTCGCGGGGGGGCTGGAGCCCATCTCAGCTGACTCAGGGCGAAGGCAGGGGACACCCTGGACAGGTCACCAGTCTATCACAGGGCTACACCCAGAGACAGACAACCAAGCACACTCACATTCACACCTACGGACAATTTAGAATCACCAATTAACCTCAGCATGTTTTTGGACCTTGTGGGAGGAAGNGTGGTGGATCAACTGCCAGTGACAAATTCAGAAATACAGAGACACACCAGGAATGACCCCACATTGTCAAAAGTGTATGAAATAACAATGCAGGGATGGCCAGCTCATGGTAACCCTCTGTTCCCAGAGTTTTCAGCTAGACGAGATCAACTCTCAATCTGCCAGGGAACCTTAATGTGTGGCTCCAGAGTCGTAGTTCCCTCGCGACTCCGAACCAGGGTGTTAGAGACTCTCCATGAAGGGCACCTTGGCACAGTTAAGATGAAGAGTCTAGCCCGGAGCTATGTTTGGTGGCCGGGTATAGACAAACAACTTGAGGACATCACCAAAGGCTGCTCAGGCTGCCACAAAGTTCAAAATGCACCACCACAGGCACCCCTTCACCCCTGGGAGTGGCCATCGTCACCATGGCAACGTGTGCATGTTGATTTCGCAGGACCGTTTATGAACTCAATGTTCTTGATTGCTGTTGACTCTCATTCCAAGTGGCCAGAAGTGATACAAATGAAATCAACCACTTCAGAAAAGACTATAAGTGTTCTCAGGTCAATTTTTGCTAGAAATGGTCTTCCTGAACAAATTGTGAGCGACAATGGCCCACAATTCACGTCAGAGGAGTTCACTCTTTTCACAAAGAAAAATGGGATCAAACATTTTAAGTCAGCACCTCACCATCCAGCTACGAATGGATTAGCCGAGAGATTTGTACAAACATTCAAAAAATCCATTAAAGCAATGGAAAGAGAGGACATTCCTCTTCAGCACAAGCTAGACAACTTCCTTTTTGTCTACAGAAACTCTGTACATTCAACAACAAACCAAGCGCCTGCAATGTTGTTCCTGGGCAGGACTCTCAGGTCCCGCATTGATCTCCTGAAACCAAATCTGCGGAGGGAAGTGCAGAACAAGCAGCTCAGCCAGTTGTCAGGCAAGACTGCAAGAGACTTTGAGATTGGACAAGATGTCCTGACACGTGACTACAGAGGAGACAAGTGGACCCCAGGAAAAATAACAACAAGAACTGGACCACTGATGTACACAGTTGACGTCGGAGAACAAATATGGAGACGTCACGTGGATCAGATTTTGGATGCACAACCAAAGAGTAACGACTCATCATCTCCAGACACGCCCCTCAGTGACAGTAATGCCACCCCCATGAACACGTCAGCTGTAGCAGAGACTCTTGCTCCAGACAAAAACTCTGCTACCCCTAACCCTACGCCACAAGTCCAGAGGCGTTATCCTGAAAGGCACAGAGCGCCTCCCAAGAGACTGGAGCTGTAGTGGTCATGTGTTTTCATATGTTGTTTTGAGTTGTTATGACATGTTGGTATTCAAACACACAAAGGTGTTGGAAACAAAAAGGTCTTCATGTGCATTTCATATTTGAATGGATTGTTTTGTTATGCATAAAGTGCTATTATCCATTCAATTTAAAAGGGGAGGAATTGTAGTGTATGGACTATTTCCTAAGGCGCAGTTATATGCCTCCCACCCCTTGTGGTTTACAGCGCACTTCATAAACAGTTACGTTGGAGCAGTGATATGTGTTGCCGCACATCTGTGTAACCTGCCGTTCTGCAGTAAAGCCGTTTAGCAAGAGCAAGCTCCGTCTCCGTCTATTTATTTTAAAGTTGTTAAAGACACAACAGGGAGAACATGCAAACTCCACGCAGAAAGATTCCGGGTGTCCTCACCAGGACGCGAACCGGCGACCTTCTTGCTGCGAGACAACAGTGCTAACCAACTGCGCCCCGTGCTAAAGGCATGTTATCTTTAAAAAAATATCACCAATATTACGCTATTTATTTGAAACTGTAAAAACAGAAAGAATCATTTGGCTTTAAAATTTAAAATAGTCTATGCATGTATGAAAAAATGAGCTAAATCTGTGTTTATACAGAGCAGAGAGGACATCTGTATGGAAACTAGTTCAAAATGTAAATAGTAAATAGTAGATTCTTTCTGTTTTTACAGTTTCTGGTTGATAAATGGTGTCATTATTTTTTAAAGATAGCATGGAGGCAGGTTTGGGATTTAGAGGGTTAAACCTGCATTCTTTCTAACAGTCAGCAGGAATCAGACCCCTGTGGTTGCAAAAATAATTCAGTCAAACACACAAGTTACCACATTGATGAAACAACCTCATTATCACTTAGTGTTATACGTTTTAGTCAGTTTGTTCCATGTTCTGTAGATGTCTATTCTGTCTCTTATAAACAGCAGCAACTGATCACGAGTGACAGTACAGTATAGCACAGCTGCAAGTTAACATATACTAGACCATGCCTGCATTGGAGAAGTTCTGATTTTAATGGACTTGTTTCTGCTGAAATTACTATTAAATGATTACATACTGCTTAGAAATTGTAAATTCCACACTGTCTGTCATGCATTTATTAGCATGTTGCTGTATTATTCCATATAATGGAAAAAAAAATCCACTTGTGCATCAGTTCAGGTGTGTGAAATGTAGTCTGACGTATTTTTCTGCAGTTTTCTGAATGAGTTTATGGAACAATTTGTGCAAGTTCAAAAGTGTGTGTGCATATACATGTGGTTTTTGTGTGTATGTGATTTACTGGTTGTAAAATGCGTTCATCTGAAGAAGAAAAATTTCCCCACCTCCTCAAAAATTAAATTTCTCTTTCATGGTACAACATTGTGTTTGACAAGTATGAGGTCAGTGTTGTGTTAAATGGAAACAAATGGGTCTACTGCTTGATGAAATTTCAAGTTGTAAATTACTTCAAGTGTTAGTTTCTGTACAATTGATTCCAACACTCCACATTAGAATATATTTACTGTTTTATTCTGCAACTAGACTCCCCTAAATATACTGTTTTTGTATAGTGTTGCCACCATAATCAACATGAACTGTACTTACCTGTAAATTACAACATTGTCTTCTTTGAAAAAGTATGAGTTGGGAATTATACCATTAACCTTAACCTTTCTGATCCAGTGGATTGCAGACATTTATTCAAAGACAGCAATGTATGAGCCGATTGTATGTTTTTTTTTTAAGGTAAGAAAAATAATTTAACTTAATGACACAAAAAATAAAGATGACCTATTTCAGGGCATCAGTGTAAAGTTATCAGTAATATTCTTTGCTAAATGTATTTGCTGGTCTAAACTGTGTTTTGTGAACTGTCGTGTGAAAATGTCTTTGTCGGGGAACCCAGGCACAGACACGGGCAGACAGGCAAGTGAATGAAATCAAAGAGTTGATTAAATGTCACAAACAGAAACCAATGTAGAGGGGAAGTTCACCTGAGGAGGGGAAAACCGGAACACATTCAAAAGGAAGCAAAATTATAGCAACCTAAAGTAAAAACAGAGGGAAAAACCTAATGAATTCTAATAAAAAACACAAAGCTACTCAAACAAACAGGGACACACACAAAAATGGGACAAAGCAGAGGGGGCAGACAGGCTCGGGGAATCCAGACTGGAAGCAGGGTGGGAACCGGTGGCAGGAGAAAGGTGGCTCTGGGAATGCAGGCTGGAGACAGATTGCCGATCAAGGCAGGCAGACAGACAGACAGGAGACAGAGCGGGGACCGGCAGAAACATAAGGGTAGAATGTCTATGGTCTGGCAGGGTGTGGTGGAATGAACTGGTCTTTAAAGGGAGCTGAGGTGGTTGAGAGCAGGTGAGTTGCAGCTGTCAGAGATTGTTCTTGATTGGAGGCTGAGATGCACAGAGAGGGAGAGAGAAGGGAGAGGGAGAAAGAGATGGAGACAGGCAAGGGCTGAGGCTGGGCGGTCATGACAGTCTTGCTGTTATCGGTCATTGCTGCTCTAAAAAACATCCGATTTGACAGCATTTATTTGTAGTTACTGTTTAATTAGAATTTGGCTGTATTTTTACAGTAGTTTATTATATTGCAGAGCTCATGTGTTCTGAAGTCTGCAGTCTCCCTTGTTGTGCAGTAGCAAATAAAGGACTCCAGCCTCCTGTGACCAAGTGGTGCATCGACAATGG